CACACACACACACACACACACACACTATGGGAAATTCAAATACACCTCTCTGCATGTCTTTGGACTGCAGGAGGAAACCTGTTTAATATGGGGAGAGCATGCACACTGCACACATACAGTACCAGTCAAAGGCTGGACATGCCTACCCATAGAAAGGTACTACTCTCTACATTTTAGAATAATTATACAGGCATCAAAAAAATAAAATAACATACATGGAATTATACACTAAACGAAAAAGTATTAAAAGCACTTAAATTAATTTGTTTGGGGGGGCAGCTCTGTGGGTTGGGACGTTGCCGGTTCAAATCCTGCAGTTGGCAATGATCCCACCATTGGGCCCTTGAGCATGGCCCTTAACCCAACTGCTGCAGGGACTGGCTGACCTTACTTCCTCCTCTACACTATTTTCATGAGGCGGCTTCCTGGGATGCTTTTCCAACATATGCTGATTACTCATTGGCCGCTTTTCTCTAGTTGAACTCCTCCAAAACCATTTCTACTGTGTTTAGGTCAGGTGGCCCGATCATGTGATGCGACACTATAACTCTCCTTTGGAAGCGGCTTGGCATGCCCAAACTTTTGATTTATCCAAGACAATATCATAATGTCAGTTTTACATTTACAATGGACTGAGAATATTACGCTTTACAGGAATTGAGAAAGCTCACGGTAACATGTGGGACAGAGAGATGGCATGGTGGGAGTGGGCTGTATGTGCCCAGCCGTGTCTTTGGTGGTGTGTCCCTGGCTGTGTCTGTAGCTGTATGTGTCCAGCTGTGTGTGCCCGGCTGTGTCAGTGGCTGTGTGTGTGGCTATAGGTGTACTCAGCTGTTTGTGTCTGGCTGTGTCTGTGACTGTGTGTGTGGCTGTATGCACATGGCTGTGTGTGCAGCTGTGTCTGCATTTGTGTGTCACCGACTGTGTGTGTGCCCGGCTGTGTGTGCAGCTGCGTGTGTGTGGCTGTGTCTGTCCGGCTGTGTGTGTACCCAGCTGTGTATGCGGCTGTGTGCCCCCGGCTGTGTGTACCCAGCTGTTTATGCGTGGCTGTGTGTACCCGGCTGTGCGTACCCAGCTGTATATGCGTGGCTGTGTGTACCCGGCTGTGCGTACCCAGCTGTATATGC